TCGTGATACGCCGCTTACAGTATAGTATAGAACGAAATGTTAATAATGCAGTCTCGTTCCTCGTATAGGAAACTAATTTCAACCCCCCATACAACTTCACTTCCAATCAAAAATGTTCGAAGTACAAGGAAGATTGCGAGATAACGATTTTCCAATTATTTTCCAATTACAAGTAACGAACGACACCTTCTATTTAACGAGACAAGCAATCTACGCTCCTACTGAATAATCCTTGGACAAACCCTCCACGCGATTAAATATATCCCATAATATATAAGATTATCGAAGAAAAACGGACACACATTTTACCGAGTCTCGTAAACTTGATATCTAGCGATGGGATTAAGTATCTCGCAAGAAAGATATCCCTTTCGAACAAGAGATCGAATTCGAATTCTTCATAACTATTTCGAAAAAAAAAGGATTCTACTTTCAAGTAGAAGAGTATTACTCGTAAGAAATTTCAATATAAAATTACCATCGATCTTCTAATCTTTCGCATGGAAGATGGAATTAATACTCAAATTGATACAAATTTCGATTTTATTTCAGTAAACGTCCAATCCGATCTCCAATTTTTCTACGAAAACGTATCTCTCTCGGTTTATAATCACGAACATCGAACTTGATTCCATCGCTAGCAACGTGCGAGAGACGCGTTAGCACGCAACGTGGAGCCAGACAGGAAATTGCAAATCAACCGTGCGGCTTTTAACGAGGCAACCAGCAGCGCCTTCTGGGACGATGGCCGCTTTGAACGCCGGTTGCATAATTTCGATCGGTATTTATGGAGCAAGGATTTATCGGGAACGGTACATGTGACGCGATTATCGGCTGGATTCGGTGCTGATCGCCTCTTTTGCGATCGAGAGCTATACGACATATTGCTCGCCCCGTCGAATCGCCGCCGACAGGGGCGTGTTTCGCACTTTTGCACGGGCACAGACCCGTGGGAATGGAACGGCGCGGCGCACCGTCATTCTGTCGCTCGACCGTCACTGATATTGCCGATCGATCAACGAAAGTGTGACTAAATCTGATCGCTATCCGTGATTTCTTTTTTTTTTTTTTCCAGATTGATTTGTTTTCTATTTACGTTCGCCCGCGATATCGCGTCGCACTCGTGACCCGGATAGAAGGAATCAAGTGTATCATCGGGTGTAAATAGTATTTAATTTAAGTTATTGAGATCGTAAGTGGATAAAATTTTTTACGGTTTTTTGGATAATATAATTTAATGTTGTATTGTGATGTGTACGATAGGATGGGTGATGTGTTCATCTTTGGATTGATTCTCTAAAAAGTATCGTTACGAATTGTAATTACAATTTAATTATAATTACATTAATATTATATCGATAAGATATTAGATTTCAAACAGAGAATGAAGAAGATATATAATTGTTACGTTGAATTTAACAACGTTCCGAATATCCAAGATTAATTTTAACAAATCGATCTCGTTCAATGGCTCTTCCAAATGGCATCCTCGATAACCTCATCAGTGCCACTGTCTTCTTGCCTCACTCGTCTAACTTAATTCCACTTAATGGTTTTCGTGGCACCAGAATGGTACCACTCGTGCAACTTGATTTTCCTTGATAATTTCCGAAACGTCATCTTCATTCGTTGATGCGACGTTGAATACGAAATGATTCGAGAATACACATACACTCGAGAAAAAGTCTTTTGTATGATCATAAAAAATTAATGCATTTGTTCAACTTTTCGAAGAATGTTTCCTCGTTACAAATTTCTTTGAGTGGAAAATATCAATTTCGTATCACCCTTGATTCCCAACATCTCAGACATAAAATGGAACACTCTTTCCGCATTCTTCGTCCGTCAATCAATCCGATTCCATAAAACAGATTCAATTTCGTCCAATAATTACACGTAACCTTGTCACTAAAACCCATTCTGGCAGCATCCCTCCCTTCGTAATTCAACCCCAATCCCAATGGCAAAGTCAAAGTCAGAGGATAGGTATCGTGAAAATAAAAGAAAAAAAAGAAAAAAGGAAAATAAAAAAAAAAGGAAAAAAAGAAGGCGAGAATCAAGCGGATAAATCGTGGGCTGTGTCGATGAAAGGGAGCGACGCGGTATTTGTCGAAATTGAATCAATATCCCTTGGCTGGTTTAACGATACGTATGCGGGTAACGAGCGGCATGGTTCCCGCGTGGATTTCGCGGTGAAAAATCAACGTATCCGTGCTTTAAGCGTGTGTAAACGGGTGTAAATCAATGAACGAAAAATCCGCGGGTTTTGAAAGCCCTTATTTGCATAAAAATTAATTTAGACTTGGTTGTCCGGTTGAATTTATATATATAAAAGAAAGGGGAAAAAAAATAAAATAGACGAAATTGAAGAGAGAAGGGGAGAGGAGGAGGGAGAGAAAAAAAGAGGAAAACAGAGAGGAAGGGAGATGTATGGAGAAGAGAGGGAAAACGCATCCCCTATATTGTGTTTCGGATTTCGTTACTCGAGTTTCGAGCGCCGCGATACCAGATCGATATTCACTTTCGTTTAACGATCGCGTATATATATATATATCTGTATATGCAAACGTGTCGCGTGAAAATCCGTAATATACGGGGCCAACGTACACCCGAGGAACGTTTTATCGCGGACATATCCTCGAGAGAAAAGGCAAACGCGAAATGCAGCCGGGCTGTTGAATTTTCCGGATGCGTTTGTTACGCGCCGATACTGCGTTTTATTTATTTTTTTTTTCTTTTTTTTTTTTCTACCATTGAAACGAATTTTTAGAGAGTTTAAATTCTGAGAGATCTTTTTGGAAGAGGAAAAGGGATTCACGGAAAGCGGCTTCGTTGAAATTGATTCGAAAGACGAGGAAATTTGTTAATAACGAAAATATTGTCGAATGATTTGTAATTTGTTTTCTGAGAAAAGAAAGAATATCGGGAAGTTGAAGAAATCGGAAATGCATTTCTTTTTTTAAACAAAGAACGTGACGAGTTTTAGTTTCGTTTGAGTAAGAGAAACGAGGGAGGGGAGGGAAAGAAAAGGAGAAATTAACAGAATCGTGGAATAACAGTGTATTAAATTATTTGAAAAGCTGGCACCATTACTCTTCCAACTCGCCGTCTCGAGTCTCGGACAACATTCTCCGCCGTTTCTGAAGCTCTTGGGGAACAAAATTTCCCTCAAGCTTGAAGATGACTAAACACATTCTTCTCCGGTATCGCGCCGACAGAACTCGTTCGTTTTCTTTTCCCCATCTCTCTTTCACCGTGCTTCACTCGGTATTCCTCTCGGTGGATTCCAGGGACATAGATCCCGTAATACCGTCCCAGACCAGCTTCGTCTAGACCAATTCTTTTTTTTTAAGAAAATTGACCTCGCATCACCCGTCTCTGTAACAGCTTGGAACATGGGATATTCTCTATTCAACGTTCAAAGAGAATACATTTACGTACAAACTCTCCATTACGACGATCAAAAATATAACAATTGAACAACTTTGCTCGAAAATTTCGAAAATCACGAATGATCGTTCAAAACAAACCCTTCGATCGTTGAGATATTTCGAAGAAAAGTGAACGAGCCAGTTTTCCATTAAAAAAAGCCCACCTATCTCGAAGATTACCCAACATAAGAAAGAACGAAACAGAGAGGAAGCATAGTTAGCATCGTTTAGAACCGTGATGGCGGTTCCATCCGTTCACCAACGGCGTACAGTCAGCTCCATTTGCGGAACAACGCGTATGGGAATAAGGGCGAAGAAGAATCGGTCGTAGCCAACAGCTGTCCAGTCTCAGAGACTCGATTCCCTCCAAAATATATATTCGTGGCACAAAGGAAGATACACGAGCGACGCGTAAACTTGTTTCCCTTGGTTGGAATAAAGGAGGGGAACGGGATGGAAATTCGTGAGAAACGAGGGAAAGAAGAAGGGGGAAGGGAGAGGAAAGTTCAATGGAAATGCAAAGAGGGAGTTAGATTGTCAAAGAGCGTTGTTTTCGGACCGAATAAAAACCGGGAAAATCGTAAGTTATCGAGCTCCAGGGGCCGGCAGACGTTTTCTCTCGGGACCTCTTTCTCGTTCCCCTTTTCCTTCCAATCCAATGCACGCGCGGCTCGAAGGATCATCGATATTCGATCTTGGCTCTAAATGTTATGAAACGAGCCACGTCGCATCCGCGTCCAATGTTTCACGATTGACGAAGGTCGCGCTTTTTTCGATGATGGTAAAGGTAGCCGCCAAGGGAGAAGGCGTAAAAGGGATGGCGTTGAGAAAATGGCCCTTCACCTTTCGAAACTTTCTTTCTCTCCCGTGTCGCGTTAAAAGTTGAGAGTTTGATGCATGCGATGCCAACGATACCTTTCGAGGGTGAAGCCGTCTGCTTCCTCGAGCGAAGGGTGGGTGTATAAATGTGTTGCCCTGTGTTATCGGTCGACCTAACGAGATCCATTTCCGGTCTCGTTAAGGGAGAAATTTTCTACGCCCGACCATTGAGAGGCTGTTCGTCCTACACTCGTCCATTGATTTATCTTCGTCATTTTCGTGGCTACTTTCGAGCAAATTCCCTCGAAATGTTAGTCTTAGTATCGATGTTTGTTTCAATCCTTTTAAACGCTCTATGGTCTCCGAAGAATCATTCGCGAAGAATCATTTTCCAAAGCCATTGATTATTGGTTTAAATCGTCTTTTTCAATGGCTCTATCGAAGACCACAGAACAGTTAATTATCAAAGGTCCATTCGCAAAACACAATTAGTACAGAGAAACACAACATCCTATCAACGTTGGATTCAATTTAAATCGAAGATGAATACTACGCGATTTCTCGATTTTCCAAAGGAAAACTCGTTTCTGCCTCGAAACTTGATACCGATCATCCCATTTCCCTCGATCACTCATCACGGACAATTTTATTTTCCCTACGTCGATCGATTCGTAGGCGAAGAAGAAGAAGAAGAAAAGTGGAACGACGGCAACGTTTCGATCCATTCATTTTAACACCTGCACCCCTCGTTCGTCGAGTAGGAGAAGAACCTCGGCCTCCGGCATAACCGTCGACGTGTCTCCTCTGTCCATTAGCCATCACGCGCTCGCCTCGCTTCTCGCTCGAATGGATCTCGGCCCTGGAACGTGACGTAATGAGGTAATACTTAAATTACGTCCACGTGGTATGGAAGTATCGACAGATACAGAGAGAGAGAGAGAGAGAGAGGAAGAGGGAGAGCGGGGTCTTTGGCGTGGAAAGCCGTTGGCGGATGGGCAGAACTAGGCCGCAAACAATGGCCCCTGCCTCTCGTTAACGACGCCACACAACCGTCTGTTCCACAGCATCGTCTAGCACAGTCCCCGCTCTGCACTGCGGCGAGTCTCCACCGTGTTGCGTGCCGCGATTATCGAGTTTGGCGCGAGTTTCGTTTTTTTTCTCTCTCTGATAAACGGATGAAATGGAAACAATGGAATTTGTGCTGTGAAAAATGAACGATTTTCGACGAATTTTTTTTTTTTTTTTTTCGGATTCGAGGAGGATAGTTTTGTTACTCGAATCATGTTCGACGGTAATCGGGTCGTTAGAAATTTTCCCGTAGTTTGGGTAAGTGGCGAATGATCGATCAATCGAAGTCCTCCGTTATTCCCTCGTGGATCTCGATCGTTAACAATGTTTTTTATTTTCTTTTATTACGCTTAAAGATCCCATTATAATAGGTATATTTGACGAGAGGGACGATCGGTGTTGGAATTATTGGAATAGTATTGTGATCGTTGATCGAGTTCGAAAGATCCAATAACGACAAAATTATCAGTTAAATCGATAGTTTTTTAGTAATTGTTTCGGCGAAGAAAGGGGCTTTAAATGGTGGCTTTAGAGGGTTGCTACTTCATATTCGAGTTGCTCGCCGCTTCTTCGGTTCCCTTCTTGCCAACCAGAAATGGGAATGTTATCCGATATTCAAGTAGTTTATACCGTAGAATAATCGCTTCTCGTTTTGCGGCGGTGTGTCACGCAAATATTCTACAGCGAAACTAATCCCCTCCCTCTAATATTAAATTCTCTCGTGATCTACTCTGCGATTCTGCTTCGTAAAACACGTTTCATATTCCAACCGAACTTCACGGATCGTGTTTCGCGAAGTGTTGATTACTTTCCTCTCTCTCTCTCTCTCTCTCTCGAAAGGAAAAAAAAAACAAAAAAAAAAAACGAAACGAAACGAAAGAAAAAAGAAAAATAGCAGGGGAAGGACGGAAAAAGGAAAAAGAGGAGGGTGGTGAAGGTGGAAAAAAAATTCCAGGTATTAAATATCGCGTGTGCACCTCGGTTAATCCTCGGGATTTGCCGAGATGAACTCGATGACAGCGTCGTGTCGTGTCGTGTCGCGTCCCAGCGCAGCAAGCGAAGCGTTTCGCGCCGGAATCTCCTCTCCCGCTCGTTGCTCCAGGTAACAGGGCTCCTCTCTACCGGCTTCTCCGTCATTTTCCTCCTGTTTAATATGCGATGACGCGCCTCCATCCAACCGCTAACTAGAAACGGGAAGTAGACGCGGCTCGTAACGCATTAGACCGAGCCACGCCGGGACGAATCGTTATTATTCCGCGCCATTCGTATCCCATCGACGCTGCTCGACACTCGAATTATTTCCTAGGAAACGAGGCTACGCGAGACAATCGCGGGGCAGGTGAACCGAGACGAGTGATTATACGATTCTTTTTTTTCCTTGCTTTGTTTCTCTTCTTCTTCTTCTTTTTCTTCATTCGATACCCGGAATTTTTACGTCGCGATCGAAACACAGTTTCGCAGTTTGGAATTTTTATTGAAATTTTTCTCGCCAATATTTTACGGGTTATTGGATCGCAAATGTGTGTACGGTTGATATTTTTTGTTTTTTTGAAAGTTTCGTCGTCGGGATGGAATTTTTTCATAAACCGATCGGTTGGATGGTTTAATAATTGATATACATAGTGCGCATAGTGAAACGTGGGATTTGTAGAGATTGTCGGAATTAGTTAAGAGCGTAGTTTATATAATAGGAATAGAAAGGAGCAAAGAGTTTGCTTGTACGATGGTTGCTTTGATTCCATTAGAGCATATTTTCGAGTTTGCAGCTGAAAACGGGCGAAGAAAAGACTCGTTAAGACGAGCGAATGAATTCGTGCGACGATTGTCTCGTCGTGAAATGCTTGTTTAAACGATTGTGCATGCCTTCTCTAATCCGAATCTTGTCGTTTTTTCTCGCTAGAAATAGTTCTTTCCATGCTCGATTTCCAATCGTTCCTCTCCCTTTCGAATCGAATTTTTCTCCAAAAGAACTTCATTCTATCACAAACCGAACGAAAGGAACTCGTTTTACCCTCGTTGCATATTTATAACGTTCGAATCTCAGTTTTTCACATTCAGATATACATCCCTTGCACAAGAGATCTCCGTTTGCCTTTCCTTCGTCAAATCTTTTGGCGTTGATCTTTTGCAATAAATAAACTTCAAACTCGAAACTTCGAGCTCGGAAACACAATAAGAAGAACGTGAAAAATTTGCACTTCCATTGACTTCCATTGATGTTCTAGCAAGCCGCACAATAGAGAGAGACTAACAAGTGACACATCTTGGCAAGAGGATCGTTCGTGTACAATGCGGCGGACCATTAAAGCATTCCACTCCAGTCCACTAAACTAACGCGTTGTTTTAATTAATGGCGTTGCCCCGATACACGGCCACGTATAATTTCAACCCTCCCCTCCTCCTCCGTTTTAGAAGACAGTGCGTGTCGAATTACAGGCGACATCGATAGTCGATTAAGTTCAGTGGTAAGTTCGGCCTGCTGCGACCCTTAACAATCTATGCGCTTACACCCCGTGTAATTACGATTGCACTTACCAGGCGACGCGTTCAACGGCGCGGAGGGAGAGAACAATCGAACAATCCGCGATAAGAAAGGGGAGAGGGGCAGCGGCTCCAGGTCCAGCCTGCTCGACTAATTAGCGAGAATAATTAGAGATCCGGTGGAAATTTTCCCTTGTAATCGTTTCCAGATCGACGTGCGATATCTCGATTAATTTATCGTCGGATACAGGGGAGAGCTATCTAATCGGTTATCTTACCTTTCTTTTCTTTTCCCTTTTATCCTTTTTATCTCTTTTATTTTTATTTTCCATTCTTTAGAAATCTGCCACCTATCTTCTTCTACGCTTGGCGGAATCGATAGAAGCAATCGGGAATATCCGGCGCTTCATCAAAATTCCATATTCGCCGGGAATCAGCCGGGGGCGACCGCGGCTCGAACCCATCTCTTACACGTTACCTGGTTACTACGTGTATACAGTCGTGTATCGGGTGAACAGGGAACGGCACTCACCCAGGCCACATAGGGTTTATTTATATATACGCGATATATACGCGGGATGCTATGCTTCTTTCTTATTTCCTCGAGGATTTCGGGATAAGAGGACGACACGCGTCGTGAAAAGAATCGGGGAATTAGACGGCGAATAAAAATTAGCGAATTTGACGACGAACGCGCCTCTCTTTCTCGATTTTCTTCATCTTCGTTAGGGTAAATAACTGGAATTCCATAGAAGGGGAACGGAACTTGTATCGAATTTCTTTGAGTAGGTAAGATTAGAATGGAATTCATCTAATCTAGTGGGGATTGAAATTCCATTTAGTCATCACGGAGAGTTGAGTATTGTTGTATTTCTGTAATTAAGGGGATGTTTGTGGCATTTGTGCCATGGAGGAAACGGATTTTAATATTGTAAATATCCGATTTTCCATCGATAATGATACGATGAGTGTACGATTTTATCAACTTTTCCTGAAATATTTCCCTAAAATGTCGATAAATTTAAGACGAAATCGTGTTCGCTAATTACTCGATTTCCCTGAGGATTCTATCGATTCTGAAATAAGACCACTGTGATGGTTTTACCTTGCTTCAAAAATTAGGAGAATTTTACCGTAATAAAAATACAATTGGGCCGAGTTTTCGAACATTTCATCGAAATTCCTACTTTCACCTTATATCAAAAATTTAAGAAAACGCGTTTAAAAAAGAACTTTTTCGATAAAAACTTCACGTCCTGTTATTTCTCCCCATACGATATTCTCCCAACAATATCCAAGCGGTGTATTCAGGGGAAGGGGAGAGTTGAAAATATTTTTACCCGCGTTTTACCTAGAATTTTAATATCAACATCGTAAACCGACAAAAGTGGCGATCCCCGTCCGATCGATCCATAACGGGGACGTAACATCGGCGAGGAGGGCCCCCCTCGAAACCCCCGTTTCCCGGAAGTGGATGGCGCGGACCCGCGCTCGCGGCCAGAATATCAAATAGACGGAGATAGCGGGGGACAGCCGAGCATGTAAGATAAACGAGCCAATATGGGCCGTGACACCCGCTAACTGGTGGATTTAGTGAGTTCGATAACCTCGATAACTTTCTTATTAAGTCTTCTCCGTTGTGCGGTGAGTTATCGGCTCAGTTTCAGGAGGAAAGGACTCGTTGCTCTTTCATTGGATTTATACACGTGTTACGCGCGTGAATTGAAGAAGGGAGCGAAGCAGGTGGATCCCTTCTTTGGGATCGTGAAATGGAGAAATTATCATCGGCTCGAGGAAGAAATTAATTTGCGCGACCGTTGGGAAAAGTTCTTTTCTCCGGATAAACTTGGTGGACTCTTGGTGAGAGAGCCATGGTTGAATTAAAATCGAATTTTAATTCGTTTGAAACGAAGTGTCGACTCGTCGATGATGAATTCTTCTTCCCCAAGGAAAATAGAGATTGTTGGAATTTTGCAAGTAAAATATTCTTGTCCAATTATTTATTTGAGAATGATCAATGATCTTGCGTTCGAATCGCAGTGAACATAAACAGAAAATAAAAACGTTAATTTTTTGAATTGCATTCTTATAAGAGGAAAAATTTTTTCTCCTTCTTAAATTGATCATCATTTTGCACATTTTATAAATAATCGTCTCTCAACGAATCTAATTTCTAGGAATTAAACGCAAAGTGAATCTGAAAACAAATGTGAAAGGAAAATTCGGTCTTGTCGAACTACAAACTACCCGTTCTCGTACCAGCCCCATACCATAATCCCAGATCCAACACGATAACTGGGTGTAATAGCAGAATCTTTAACCGCTATAATACAGTAACACGAAGTTCCCGTAACCGAAACGATCCGGGTATATTCACCGACAATACGAGTTGGCTAAGAACGATAAGTTCTTCGGTAGCAAGTCAAGAGAGAAGAGTACTTACCACTCGTTAATTAGAGGGAAGCTAGCAAGAGTTTCGAGCTGGATCGATTTCTCCTTGTAAATCGTCTCGTCTTCTTAATTCGAATTAAAACTCCTTCGCGGTTGGGAGAGAAAAAAATTAGAAACCTTTTGAAATCTCGTTCGATGTTGTTTCGTACGCATAGAATTTTATTTCGCCTAATATATCACGTTGTCATCGCAGAAAAGAAAAGATAATTGGAAAATGTAATATTTCAAGCTTGATGAATTCGATCTTTATTTCTCTTTATTTCTTGTATCACTGTCGATCGTAATTTTTTTTAACGAAGATTCGTTCCTTTAATGTTAAAGTATAT